TTCTTGCAGCCTGTTAACTTTGTCATTATGCTCTTGTATAACCTTCTTAAGTTCCTCTATTGCTTTGTCTGTATGTTCCTTGGATTGTTCTGCATTTTGCATGATCTCCTTCCTGATATCTTGACAAGTTCTGTATATTAATCAAGTAATTCCCAGAAGTTCACTTCCTCTGGAAGGTTTGTTGATTCTTTATTTTGGTGGCTTGCTGAAGCCATCATGGTCTGCCTCTTTATGTGATTTGATATTGACTGTTGTCTCCGAGTCATCAATAAGTTATTACATTTATTTATTTTACATGTTTACTGTGTCTTAGCTTCTTGTTTTGTTTTGATATGCCCAAATAGGCTGGCCACATGAACTAGTATGATTATTGGCATCTTTGAAGCTCTCATATCCTGTCTCCAGGTGGTAGAGCTGTTACTAGGTATGTGAGTCCTGGGGTTCATTTACTTTTCTTGTGTGGATTCAGCTCAGATGTCCAGGTTTTCGGCCACCAAGTGTGTGCTGCAGGCTCTTGCCTACAGTCCTAGACAGGCAGGGTGATTGGAGTAGGCGCAGGTATCTGGCTGCAGTAAGGGGTCATGCACTGATCAAAGCAGTAGCCTGACTGCAGCCCCTGAGTGTCTAAGTGAAAGGCATGTCCTTGTTCCCTAGCACGTAGGTAGGTGGGTTTTGCAGCCAATCTATGGGCACCCAATGTTATTGGCAGTAAGGACTGGGAGTCACCACTTATTCTTTGACCCCTGTTGCACATGGCTCAGTGGAATAGGTGGAGCCACCAGTCCTCAGGCCTCTGATGTGCATAGGTGAGGACCCTGCTTAAAGGGCAGGGTGGTGTCAAATGTCATGAATCTGCCACTCCCCCTTATAGCTGATACAGATGAAAATAGGCTTCAGGTGTACACCCTGTTGTACTGTGCTAATGATGGCCTATGCTGTTGAAATGGGTCCACACAGGTCTATGCAATGGTGAAAGGCATTCAAAGTCCATGGACCCCTTATGCCTGTGCCTAGGCAAAGGGATTGTGCCTGCCCTGAGTTCCCAGCTTAGGGGAGCTGGCAGATTTTTTTTTTTCTTGTTTGTTAATTTGTTCCCTTTCCAAAGCCAGGAGAATGGTTCAAGGGGTGTGAAAGGTCCTACTTCCAGCTCAAGGGGCACAGTAATCACTAAAGCCAAACTGGGACCTGGAGCAGAGTGGGGAGGGGCAGGTAAATGGGAGAGAGATACTTCCCAAAAGGGAGGGTTTTCTTTTTTTTTAATCTGAGCAGTAGGTTAGATGCTAGTACTTATCTTTCAATGACTGACGGCTCTTTCTCACTGGTTCTGGAGTGTTGAGAAGACTCTCCACCACTTGGTCTCTCCCGATGTGGAAAACGCATCCTGAGCACCACCTGCAGGGTGCCAGTGCTGGCCAGGTCAGGTCTGGCAACTCCTTTCTGCTTCTGAATCATCTCTCCCTCCCCCTGCCACTCAGTCCAATTCCTAAACTTTGTCTTTGATGTTCAGGGCACCTAGATTGTCATACATAATCCATTCACTTTTTCTTTTGGGTGTTTGTTGTAAGAGGGACCACAGGAAGTGTCTGACTACTCTGCCATCTTGGCCCCAACTCCATTTTCTGCATTTTAATTTTGCTAAAGGGCTGATCTAGACTCCCATGTTCTTAAAAAAAATGCTAACAAATCTCAAAAATAAAAAAGAGCCTACCCCCAATTCCACCTCTTTCTGGTCTTGGGTGGTGGCAGGAAAGTAAATAGTGCTGCCACCTTTGCCAGGCGGACTCACCATGGCTCCTGCTGTGGCCTGGGACTGATGAGGAGCCTCCAGGCCACCAGTGAGATCAGTGGGGAAAAGGAGAAATTAGCCCTTACGCGTGCATGAAAAGATATAAGGAACTGAGGCAGAGGACTCCTGCCAGGGGGCACAGAGACAGGGGCCAGAATATTCCTGCTATGGTATTTTGTCATTCTGTGTATGTCCAAGTCTGCAACTACTTATGTTAGTATTTGGCTCTTTGCAGTAAACCATTTGGCATAATGAACTCCAGGCAACAAAGTGTATGATCATAAAAAACTAAGTACTGGATTTTCACTTCTCCAAAAGTTGATGGAGGACATGGGTATTAGTGTCCGAGGGCTGCAGTAACAAAGTACTGCAAAGTGGTGACTTCAAAGAACATAAACAATTGCCCCACAGTTCTGGAGGCTACAAGTTCAAATTCAGGGTGTCGGCAGGGCCATGTTTTCCAAGACTCTAAGGGATGTTCCTTTCTTGTGTCTTTCAGCTTCTGGTAGCCCCGAGTGTTCACTTGCTTGTATATGCATCTTCACATGGCTGTCTTTCCTCTATGTCTCTTTGTCTCTTCTCCTCTTTATAAGGACACCACTCGGATGGGATCAGGACCCACTCTACTCCACTATGACCTCATATTAACGTAACTCATAATATCTTCAAAAACCCTACTTCCAAACAAGGTTCACAGGTACAGGGGTAGTACTTGGACATGTCTTTTGGGGGGACACAATCAATCGATACCAACATGTAACTTTCACAGTATGTCTGTTGTCACTTACCATCTATCATGGTGACTATAATAATATCCCTGATCACTTGAAAACCTCAGACCCCGGTCTGCTGATGGAGCATTAGCATCTACTTCAGAAGTTAGTGGTCACTTTAAAAAGATGATACCTACAGATGACACTTTTCCCCACATCTGCAGAAGGTACATTTCCTGTCTCAGTAGACTGTCACTTTTCATTTTGGCCAAACAATGATTTCAACTCCAAGTTCTACATTTTCAACTTTAAGGTTATTTGTGCATGTACAAAAAATTAATTGATAGCTATTAAAGTGTTGAATCCATCAGTAGAACAAAAAATTCTCAGTAGCATGATGTCAGTTTTATATCAGTTCCATCAGAGTCTTTCAAATAGAAAAATCAGTTAATTCAGATAGTGGTTAGACTGTCTTCATCCAATTCATGAAATAAAAGTTCTTTCTATTGAGCATAAAATAGTTGACGTTCTACTGAGTGCTATTAAAACTCATGAAAAAGGTAAACATTGAGGATAAAAATTGTTTTGAAGTACTAATACGACTACAAATTTTAGCAGAGTACAGTGTCACAATAAAAACTAATGTTCTTACTAAATTAAGAAACCCATGAAAGTGAAAGATAATTTAGATTGTTTGTAGTACAAATAAAATGCAAAAAAAAAATTCAAACAACCTGTGATAGTTTACCAATCAAAATAGAATTTGTAATTGATAAACCTTATAATTTGTTTTTATATAGGCAGAGTAACTGACCTACAAAATTTCTGTGAAGAATCTCATATTGAATAAGAAACATACTTCAGCATGATATGCATACTTTCTCCCTTTGCTTTTATTCATCAATCGTATTTTAGATATAAGTGAGTCTTTGAAGAACTACTTTGTAAATTAATCTAAGTTTGCTACAAAGATATTGAGTGTTTGGTAAACAGTTGCTCTAAATTTTGATTACTTTTGTGCAAAATTAGAGATAAATTCATAATCAAAGTATTCAACAAATGGAACACAAAAAAATTCAGCCTTTAAAGCCATTAGTAAATTACAATTATTGAAACATAACTTATAAATAGGAAGACACTGACTATTAACATTTATCCCCACACAAGTAAGGAAGAAACTAAAATCAAACTACGAGGGCTCAATGGTGTAAAAGATTGAATTTCAAAATTTAATAATTATACTTTAGAATGTCTCAACCTCCAGAAAGAATATTTTATGGAGTTATTGTTTTTGATTGAATAAATGTATACTCTATATAATATGGAACAAAATTGAGAAGAGTTACAGTATTATACAATTCAAATTTGGTGAGACATTCAAAAGAATCATAGAGAACATTTATTTGGTGATTTTGTCTTATGAAATATTTTGAAGAAAAGTTTTTTCCTGAGTGGAAGTTAAAATATTTACACAATTCAGTAAAAAAAAAAAAAAAATGTTAGAATTGAGAATGGCCTCCATTTAGCAGAATTTGCTCAGCAGACACCAGTCATCTCAGTACCTATGAAGACCATTTTCTCAACAGTCAGAGAAGAGTCCATTAAAAGTGTCAACAATTTCAAATACATTCTCCACACAATGCAACTCTGAAGAAAGTTGCAGGCAATTTTATGAAGATGAGAGAGATAAAAGAAGATACTGAACAAATACATTATTCAGAAAAATTTAGTGACAAAGTATCGCAGATACCTAGGACTGCCTTAACAATATATACCACAAATAGATGGCTTTAAAGAATGGGAATTTATTCTCTCACAGTTTTGGAGGCTAGCAGTCTGAATTCAGGGCGTCAGTAGAGCTAAGTCTTTATCTCTCTCTCTCTCTCTCTTTGGGCTCTAGTGAAAGATTCTTTCCTCTTTCAGCTTCATTAGCCCCAGGTATTTCTTACAGCTCCTTGGCTGCTTATAGATACATCTTCTCACAGCGTCTGTCTTCCCCTGGGTACGTCTGTGTCTATTCTGCTCTTTTATAAGGACTTCACTCAGAATAGGAGGAAATTTCAAGGAAAAATATGTTCCAACCAGGAATTCTACTCACAGCCATACCACTAAATAGAAAGTTAGAATAAAGATATTGTGAGACATACAAGCTTTCAAAAAATGTTATCTCTCATGCACCCTTTCTCTGGAAGCAACTGGAGTTTGTGCTCCACCAAATGAGGAAATTATGGAAACCAGAAAACCAGGAATTCACCGTAAGACAGGAGTAAATAGAATCCCCAGGGTAAAGAACAAGGAGATCCTAAGATGGCAGGTGTCCAGTTTGGAGCAGGTAGAAAGGACCAAGGAGTAATGTTTGTATTGGTGGCTCTCAATGCCATGTTAGCAGTTTGTAAAGGAGACTCTACACAAGTCCTTGCCTGGGCCCCTGGTTGAACTAACACCAACATGTTCAAAAACAGGGCAGTGATTAGGAACCAAATTCTTCCATCATTTGCATCTCCACGTTTAGAGCTAGTAATGATGATATAAACAAATGGAGTGGATTTGAAAACGATGCATCAACTGCTTTCTCATGTGGTATGAATCATGGGAGCTACCAAGGACCTGCCCGTCAAACCAAGGAGACATTTGCCTCCACACACCAATGCAGAGTCCGGACTCAGGATGGCCAAGTCCTGCTACTATCAGGAAAATAAACTGTCACCACTTCTCTTCGCCTTCATTTTCACTATCTTAGGCACCAACTGTATCATTGGAATCATTGCAAATGGGTTCATTATGGCTGTAAATGCAGCCGAGTGGGTTCGGAATAAGGCAGTTTCCACAAGTGGCAGGATCCTGTTTTTTCTGAGTACATCCAGAATAGCTCTCCAGAGCTTCGTGATGCTACAACTCGTCTTGGCTCAGCCTTCCCAAGTATTTATAACCAAGATGTGGTATATGATACATTCAAAGTCAGCTTCATATTCTTAAATTATTGCAGTCTCTGGTTTGCTGCCTGGCTCAGTTTCTCCTACTTTGTGAAGATCGCAGACCTCTCCTACCCTCTTTTCCTCAAGCTGAAATGGAGACTTTCCAGATGGATGTCCTGGATTCTGTGGCTATCAGTGTTCATTTCCTTGGGGTTCAGTATGCTCTTCATCGAAGGCATTTTCACTGTGTATTGTAGCAAGTCTTTTTCTATCCCATCCTCCAACTCCACGGAAAAGAAGTACTTCACTAAGATCACTGTGGTCAACATGATCTTTCTCTATAACCTGGGCATCTTCCTTCCTCTCAGCATGTTCATCCTGGCAGCCTCCCTGCTGATTGCCTCCCTCAAAAGGCATGCCATGCCCATGGATAGCAATGCCACTGGCTCCAGGGACCCCAGTATGCAGGCCCACATAGGGGCCATCAAAGCCATGGGCTACTTTCTCATTCTCTACAACTTCAATGCTGTTGCTCTCCTTCTCTATATGGCCAACATCTTTGATATCATCAGTCCCTGGAACATTTTGTGCAGAGTCATCATGGCGGGCTACCCTGCTGGCCGCTCAGTTCTGCTCATCTCGGACAACCCTGGGCTGAGAAGAGCCTGGAATCAGCTTCAGCACCGAGTTCACCTCTACCTAAAAGGGTAGACTCTGTGACCAGCACCCAGGGAGCACCATGGGACCTGGTCCCCAGCTCTTCATTTCCTCCCAAGAATTCCCTCTTCCCTCCTCTTTTCTTCCCCAAACCTACCTGGACCCTTTCACCCAATGCAGTTTTTTGTAAAAGAGATCGATCATCACTCCTCTCTTTTGCTTCATGGACACAGTCTTAGTGATGCTTAACATACTATTTATTTACCTGGATCCTCTATTTCTACCTTCACTTGCTCTCTCTAAAGCAGTGATTCTAAGCCATGACAACATAGTAGACTCTTCGGGGGGATAGTTTAAAATATCAATGCCCAGCCCCACCCTAGATCATTAAGTCAAAATTTTTGGTGTTAAAACTTAGACAATTTTCTTAAGTTCTTCATGTGGATATAGCCAGGTGGATATGGGCACCAATACAGAGGCAAGTTCTGCAACTTTGGCTTTTGGTAACTCTTCTCTTTCCATTTCACATGCCTTTGGGAATGTCTGCTGAGGGTCCACACTGGATACAATAAGCAGGTTCAGATTATTCAGGAAACTTTCTGAGCAGCAGCTGGAAGTGCATTTTGTCTCTTCCTCCAAAGATATAACCCGAGTAATTTGAAAATACCTATGAAAATATTAACAGTGTATAAAATACCTTCAACCTAAAAATTACTGTCTGAGAATTTTTCCTAGAGATAACATAAATATGCAAAAATATGTGTAGAAAGTTCAATTCAATTCTTTGCTAGCATTGTTCATTAATGAAGTCACTGGTATATCCATGAAATGGGATGCAATGTAACAATTTTTTTAAATGAAATAGATTCATGTGTCCTGAATAGATCTCCAATATAGTCATATTGTTAAATGCAAAAAGTAAGGAGCTATTTTATGATTCTATTTATGCTTCTCTTTTTTTAAAAGAAATATACATAAATCCTGCGTATATGTGCATACGTGTGTATGTGTGGGTGTGTGTGTATAAAGTTCTGGACCAAAAATGATTAATAGAGGACTCCTGAGCATTGGCATTGGGTATCTGGTGAATGATCGCAACATTTCCGTTTCATTTTATACCCTTCTGTGTTGTTTGAGCTATTTAGACTATGTATGCATTAATTTCACAATTTTAAAAGATTTACATCGAGTTTTTTAATTAGAAAGAGAACTAGGTAAGTTGGAAAAGTTTGAGGCAGGAGATTGTATGCTTTAATTTGTTGGTTGATCCTCTCACTACGTTTATGTTCATTAAAAAAATGCAAACCTCCAAAACCATGAGTTCAAACATCTCACTCTGTCACTCCCTCTCAGTTTTCCACATGACTGGCTAAGGGTTGCCATGGAAACATCCCAACCCTCCAATCCATTGTTCTGTCTATGATCTCGGTCTTCTTAACCAGGTTGATTACATAGTTAATCAATATGCAGATGCTCCTTAAAAATACTTCTAATATTTACAGATGAAATGAGACATGTCTGAGGTTGGCATTAAAATAATCCAGCAGAGGGTAAGGGAGTAACAAGTGGGGAGGATTAGATTGGTCATGCTGATGATTTTTAATGAAGGTTTCAGGTACATGGGGGCTCTTTACACTAGTCTCTCTGTTTCAAGGTGTGTTTGAAATTTTCCCTGATAAAATACTCTAATTTCCTGGTCCCTTTCTCCTTTCATCTCCCTCTTGTGCTATAATCCCACATCCAGAGGAACTCAACTATTTAAGCCCTCTGGGTTTACTTCTGCTCAGCTGAGTGTCACTTGGGAATATTCAGAACTGGATGTATTTATATTCTTAAAAATCCTTTGTTATGAACCCACTGGGCAATACACAGATAAATTGTTTCACATCATAAAAATTAAGGGAACCTCCCAAATTCTTTTTATGAAGTGAATATAATTTTGATAACAAAAATTGTCTCCCAGAAAACTACCAACCTCAGTTACTAACATTCTGCAAAAATACTAAACTAGGTTTTAGCAAACGGAATCAACTAGCAAGTAGACTTATTCAATAGAAGTAAAGTTGGTTTAATATTAGAAAACAGACCAATTTAATTTATCATAGTAATAACACTAAGGAGAAATATCATATCTATTTTTGTAAATGCTCAAAAACACACAGATAAAATTCAGTATCCATTCTTGACTATTAAAAAAAATAATAAAATAAAAATACATGGATAATATCTTAACACAATAAAATATATTTATCTTATCTTAGTAGCCAGCATTATTCTTAAGGAGAAACATTATTTGTATTAACATCAGGAACAAGGCAAATATGTTCACTACCACCCTATTAATTCACTCTGTCCCTATATATTGTCCATTGCAATTAGAAAAGGGAAATAAATTAAAAGTACAAAAATTGGAAGGAAAAAGGTGGACGTATCATTATCTGCAGATAATACGATTGTATAAATACCTTAAAAAGAAACTGGAAAGCTATTACAAATAATAAGAGCATGAAGGACTGAAGAAAAACAAGTTCTTATAAAAGCAACAAAAAATATAAAATACTAGCAATAAAATTAACAAAAAATGAGCAAGATCTATATGAAGCCTCCTTTAAAATGTTCCAAGGCACGCAGCAGATGACAAACAAGAAAAAAGGCTCCCATTTTGTTGGGTGGAGAGGGTCAAGGCTATCAGATATTAAATTTCCCTCAATGAATCTACACATTTAATATGATTTTGACACAAATGCCAAAAAAAGTTTAGCTAAACTAATTATTAAAGATTATCTGGAAAAATAAAGCAGAAACATTCTGAAAACAAAAAGGAATGAGGGAGGATGAACTCCATGAAAGAATAAAACATATTATGAAGCTAATGCAATCACAATAGTGTGGAATGGCCAACAAATAGACAATATAACAGGGTAGACCCTGCAGAAATGTGAGGATTTAGCATGTGATAAAGGTGGCACTGAAAATCAGTAGGGAAATGATGGATCATTCCATAAATAGTATTAAAACAACTGGATAACCATCTGGAAAAAAGATTAATTTGATTGGATCTCCCACATCTTATATCAGAATAAATTCCAAATGACTCAAATATTTAAACATAAACAGAAAAAAAACAGGAACTACTGAAAACTAAAAGAAATCTTGGAAATGTCAAAATTAATTCTGGAGTCTGGAAAGACATTTCTAAACACGATAAAAAAACAAACAAGCAGCAAAAGACTTACTAATCCGGTTATACAAAATAAAGATACTTCATGGCAAAAGCTACCAAAAGCAAACTCAAAGACTAAAAAGAAACTGTATATTTGCCATTCGCATCCCGGATGAAGCTCAATGTTCCTAACATGTGAAGATCTCATATAAATCAATAAGAGCCAATTACTGAATTTTTTAAAATGGCAAAGAATATGAACTGACAGTTAACACAAAATGAAATAAAGATAGCTCTTAAAAATTTAAAGATTCTCAGCCTGTCTTATAGCCTGAAAAATAATAAACAACTCTAAGATACAATTTTTCACCCATCAGGTTAGCAAAAAGTTTGATGACACCCTGTGCTAGTGATGTTGGAGACCAGGCTGTCTCAGAGGCCAAGGATGGGAGTACAAATTGCTACCACCTCAAGGACAGTTTAGTAATAGCTATGAACGTTATGAAGATACAGACTTTAATGGAACCATTTTACTTTGGAGAATTTATCCTACAGATAAACTTGAGCACCTAATAAGTGACATGTACAAGTTCTATGTACAGCATTGTTTATAACTGGAAAAATAGGGTCATTGAACTATTTACCAGTGGGCAGGCATAGGAAGGATGAATGTAAGATGCTGTAAGGAAGGGGAAAAGGAATGTAAGGAGGAGAGAAGAAGGGAAGAAGAGAAGGAAGGAAATAAAGAGAAAGCAGAAATGTGTTTGTTTGAAAATGGAATGACTTCCAAAATGTATCATTAGGTGCAAAAATAAGTTAAAGAGCAGTGCATTTACTATACTACCATTTGTATTTACAAGGGTTTTTTAAATTATTCAGGAAACAATAACATGGCTTTCCTCCAAAGAAGTAAATTGGGTGGCTGAGAGATAGGAGTCAGATAATTCACTCCATAAATTCTTGTATCTTCTGAATGTTCAATGGTGTAGACATTGTTATCTATTTGAGAAATGAAAAATATAAAATTGGAGCTCTTCCTTGTGAAACGTGCTAGTCAATCCTGAGAATACAGTCATGCTTACTCCAAAGCTAACAAGGTCCACTACCACTCATGATGTGTCCAGATTGTCAGTGTGTTTCACCTACAAGTGGCACAAAGATGTATTTTCATGTCTCATCAAGAGTTCAGACATGATGTGGAATGGCTTCCAGCAGGGTGCTAATTTGGGTTATGGACGAAATGTTTCTGTGGTCCAATAAGTTTAAGAAATACTCTGTTAGACCACAGTAAACAGCTCTCCTCAGAGCCTTTAGTTGGCCAATGTACATTGTCAATTTCTACTAAGAAGTTCTAGAATGAATTTCTACTTTTTGTTTTTTGAATGGGTTAGTTTATTCCTGGACACATACATCGATTTTGTTCTTGAGGGTCTGTCCCTTTTGAGTTCCTAATTTCTTATAGTTTCTCCCACATGTTTACTTTCCAAAAATGGTTTAAGTGTGATTTGTTCAATTGCTTTCTATTCCCTTCCTTCTCCTAAACTTGAGATAAAAATTTTTCATACTGAAGAATGTTCACTGAGGTTTCTGCCAACTCTAAAGTCTTTGTCTACTTAATTACTGCTTGCTTGTACATCTAAAATATGGACAAACACCCATCTTGTTGGTCTATTTTCCGTATATCAAGGAAAATGTTTCTAATACATCATCACCACTGATATGGTGAGCATGAACAGGTTGCCTCTCTCATTTCTTTTATATGAGTGACAAAGTAATATCCTCCATATCATCTGAAAGATTTTCTTTTACTCTGCACTAGGGCAAAGGTAACTGACCGTACACTGAAAAGGCCAGATAAAGATACATAGAAAAAACTCAAGACTGAAGACCA